TGCATGTTCTAGTAGCATAGGGCCCGGCACAGTCCACCGTCCCGGTCAGCTGGCGGCTGCAGTTGCTGGGCCGGTTCTGTCTCCACCCGTGTCCTCTTGCAGTCCCGCCTGGTTCCACCCTAGACGCACTTGTCCCTCGCACGTACTAGTAGGAGTTGCAGCCCAATCGGGGCGGCCCACAGTAACCTCAACCAGGCCCACCTCCTACCCTGGCTTGCCAGTATATATGGCATACTAGCCCAGTCTGTCCCAAGTACCCTTCTGTTCATGTTCTTGCCAACAGGTGTTGCCACCTACCTCCATCCAACCATCTCCTCCTACCGTCCCTAACGGATATTGTTGGGTGTCTGTCTAGCCACCCCAGCCCCTGTCCTAGTTCCCATGCCCTCCCGTGGAAGGTGATGACCCACGAGGGAGGAGCCCACTATTTCCCTCCCAGGTCGCTCCCATTCCAGTTGTGCCCTCTCCATTTGGCCCTGTGGTTCAACTCAACGTGTCTAACCCTTTGTACCAGCTTCCGCCAGCTGGTGCTACAACTAAGCCCCAACAACCCTCACCAACTCTGATTGTAGCTTGCACCAGTGGGAATAGTCAGCCCAGCCTGGTTTTCACCCAATCTGGTCCCCATGAGGTGCACAGGCGTTGTGTCCCTGCCTGGTCTAGTCTACCCCCCACCCAGCTCCCGCTCCTCAGTGTAATTTGCTGTTCAGCTAGGGAACCTCCCCTTATTCTCCTGTCAGCTCTGCCGCCTCCTTTCCTGGTTCTCACGTGTGTTGGTTGGGTGCTGCGGCTGCATCCGGCTCAGGCTACCTCACCTTGGCATTCCAGCTTGTGTGTTGCTTTTGTTACGACCGGACCTGGTTCGACCCACACTCTGTTCTGGCGATCAGATTTACCAGTGGATGACGTGAACAGATTCAGCCTGGTCTGCCCCCGACCCATGCCAAATGCATGCCAGTGGGACACTTTCTATGACCTCTTGGCTGTTGCCTTGCATGTTCCTTGCGCTGACCTGCTGGGTCTGTGTCCTGCCAGAGGAGTTGCCTGAGCTCCTCCATCAGAACCCCTCCATGTGCCAGGTTTCGCGCATATCAGTGGGTCCATGTGCCAGTTCGCCTCTTATCCTAGCAGGAACAGTGGTCTTTCCTAACTGGCCATCATCCCGTTCTGGTTCTTGCTGTAGAGTGTTTCAGCCCAGCCACGGTCGTCCATGCCCCCATATAGCTCGTATATGGCTCAGTTGAGGTTGGGACCTAGCCTAGTCCGTCCCACATCTACCCTGGTACTCCAGAGCACCAGAAGGTGTTAGTGTCTGGCCCGGCCCGGTACATCTTTTCCCAATCCACATTTGTGCCAAGGGAGAGGACAGCTGTATCCAGACCCTGCCGCAGCCCCATCCACCTGTCATGACCCCTGCCTTAGACACTGTGGCTCAACTCTGTGCTTAATGTGGACCAGTTGGAGCCAAATCCAAGCTGGGCATGTCCTGTGTTGCACCCTGTGTTCCAGTCATACTAGTGGACTAAGGTTTGCTTAGTCCGAACATTCATCTCTCAGTCCCGCACTTACATTAAGGTTTCATGTCCTGGTTCCTGGGAATCACCAGAAATTAGTGTCTCACCTACACTAACGCTGGTCTTACTTTTGGGTGTCCCAAAGCACCTATTTCATATCATCAAAACCCCAGAGCTCGCCGCTGGGCAGCCAGCAGGCAGAGCCTGGCACCACTTGGTGCACTGGCTGCCCAAGGCCTGGGCCTCTGTCTCGCGACGGACGGGGGTTGTGGCTGAGACCCCGGCAGGGTTTGGTCTGGAAGAGGCGCTCCCACCGAGCGCCACCTCGATGGGAGTTTGAACCCGCCCCTTGTCCTGAGACTCGACCCGCCCAGCCTGTCCTGCCGCCAGCTTTTGGCTGGCGGGGACAGGGGAGAGCCAGGATTTCACCCCCAGCCCCCCGCCAGCCCCCGCGGGTACTCACCCGCGAGGGGGCTTAGGTGCTCCCGGGCCAGGAGAAGGCCTGGGTCTCTGCCCCCGCCGCAAGCGGCAGGGACTGTGCTGTGTGTGTACTTTTAATGCCTGTCTTTTGTGTTATTTCTGTAAGTTTGCTCACAAAATGCATTGAAATGGGGTTGTAGCTGTGGCATAGGAAGTTAAGCCTCTGCTTGAAGTGCCTGTACCCACTTCCAATCTATTATCCTGCTAATGGCCTGGGAAAGCACCAGAAGATGGTCCAAGTCTTTAGGCCCCTGCACCCATTTTGAAGAACCAGAAAAGCTCCTGGCTCCTGGCTTTGGACTGACCCAGCTCTTTCCATTGTGGCCATTTGGGGAGGGAACCTGCAGCTGAAAGTTCTGTTTCTTTCTATCACCCTGCTTTTCAAATAAAGATAAATAATTGTTTTCTAAAAATCTTTAAACTAAAAAAAGAAAGGTAAAAATTAAGTTTCAATAGGTTGAACATTGATGTATCTTGAAAACATGTTAGAATCCAGACACATATTAAATAATTCAATTTATATGAACAGACCAGGCAGGCAAACCCATAGAGACAGGAAATGATTTCATGTTTTCCAGTAACTGATAGCAAAGGGAAATGAATAGCAAACAGCAACTACTCATGGGCGTGATGTTTCTTTTTGGGTAATAAAAATGTTGTGAGGACAGTACCCTGACATAGCCTGCTGCACCTCCATCCCATTTGGTCACTGGGTCAAGTTCTGCTTTACTTCCCATCCAGCTCCCTGCTAATGACCTGGGAAAGCAGCAGAAGATGGATTCAAGTCCTTGGGACCCTGCACCCACATAGTAGACCCAGAAGAATCTCTTGGCTCCTGGTTTCAGACTGGCCCAGCTCTGGCCCTTGCAGCCATCTCTCTCTCTCTCTCTCTCTCTCTCTCTCTCTCTGTTTCCCCTTCACTTTGTGTTTGGCTTAGGCTTTCAAATTAAAGAATTGTTTTAAAAAAGAAATTGGGTAATGACAAAATCATTATGTGTACATCCTTGTTAATGTACTCAAAACCACTGAACTGTATACCTTACAAGTTTTATTACGTACAAATCATATCTCAATATTATACATCTCTGTATGTAAGAGTTCAGGTTGATCTAACAGAATACTATAGACTAGGTGATCTCATTGTTTAGGGCTCTGCAGAAGCATGTAGGGAATTAGAAGTGTCCATTAATCATTTGCTTTATTAGTTGCAGAGGGCATGGTTCAGCAGCAGTTTCTGTGAAAGGTTTCTCTGAGCTTAGCAAAATTAGGGCAATAATATAATCGTTTTATGCCACTTAAAATAAAAGGCAGAGAAAATTCTTTCCTCATCCCATATTTCTAATGCTCAGTTAAGCACACTAAGGGAAGCCACAATTTCCATGGAGTGTATTAAGTTGAACTATATGAAATTGCCTTTATTCAATTATATTTGACATGTAACCATGGTGATTTTGTGATTCGACTTAATATCAATGAAAAAACTGAGTCTTGCATTCATTGAATTTTTATGATAACAGGAAGTGTGTTAGTTCATTATTTCTTCTGTAATGAATTACTCCAACATTTAATGTCTTAGCAAAACAAATACTATCTCACAGTTTGGCTTCAGAATTTGCAGAGGCTTCACTGGATGATTCTGGCTCAAAGTCTCTCATGGTGTTGTGGACAGTGCATTGGCTGGGGCTGCAGTCACCTGCACAGGTTTTGCTGATGTTTTTTGTGACTGCCTATTGGTGGATGTATCAGGTGTTTGCTTGTTGCTGATTGGAGGCCTCAGTAAGCTTCCCATGAGACTGCTTATAGGATTGAGTGATTCATGAGAGAGGACAAGGAGGAACCTGGAATGATTGATGCCCCACCACCACCCAGCCATGCCTTTTATGGCTTGGTTTTGAAAATCACATGTTGTCAGCTCCAGCATGGTTTGTTTGTTAATACCAAGTCACCAGGTTAGTACCAAGTACCAAGTCCAGGTCATAACCTGGAGGAAAGGATTTAATTGCCAGCTCTTGAAGGATAGATTTTGGGGGGAGAGAAAGTAATAAGTGTAAGAAAGTTATGCTATGTGTTAGAAAGTTGTAAATTATCTTAAAAAATAAAGCAGAGGTGAGGGAAATCAGAGTATGGAAGGGAAGTAGGCGGCCATTTTAAATAGGTCTCGTTAGGAAGATTAGATTTGAACAAAAAACTAGAAGGAGCTAAGGAAGTTATCCAAGCAGAAAATCCCAGACCAACTAAGTAGCTAAAATAAAGGCTGTAAGATGGAAGTCATGCTGGCAGAGGAAGAACCAGGCAGCCAACATGACTGGCACAGAGAGGGGTTGGCGAGTGGTAAGGGAGGACGTCCGAGAGGCCAATTTGAGGGGAGGGACTGGCATAGCATGTAGGTAGGACCTTACTGTTTCCTGTGTATTGGACATTTTTGAATTGTTTTTCATTGTGTCAGTTTCTAATGTTACTTTAAAGATTTATTTTTATTTGAAAGGCAGAATTAGAGAGAAAGAGAGAGCGAGATCTTTGATCTGGTAGTTTACCCCCTAGATAGCCACAATGTCTGGAGCTGAACCAATTTGAAACCAGGATGTGGGAGCAGGGGCCCCGAGGACTTGAGCCATCTTCTGCTGCTTTCTCAGGTCATAAGCAGGGAGTTGGATCAGAAATGAAGCACCTGGGACATGAACTGGTGCTCATGTGGGATGTTGATGCTTGCAGGCAGAGATTTAGCCTACTACACCGTGGTGCCAGCCACACATTTCCAATATTAAATGAGATTAGGTATGGGAGAATTTTTAGTAATTAGAGAATCACTCTGTGAAGGCTGCTTTCAAGTACTGCACACTTTTGTTTTTAGTTAGCGAAGACATAGAAGCAACTTTCCTTTGCCTAATCGAAGGTGAAAAAAGAGTTTTCCTAAGCAGCTATAAAAGAATATAAATGTTAGTGGAAGAAAAATGGAGGAAAGATTTCTGTGGCTTGAAATTAAAATGGGTTTATTGTTCCTAACAGGAATGTGAAGAAATGAAAATGGATTCAAACATGAATGTGAATTCTATTACCATCTCTGTGGAGGGGATGACATGCAACTCCTGTGTTCAGACCATTGAGCAACAGATTGGAAAAGTGAATGGTGTACATCACATTAAAGTAAGTCACACCTTGGCAGTTGGTAAAGTCACATGTTGTTGACGAGAATTCTGCTAGGAAGTCACTTCTAATACCAGGATAGAAGCAACCACACAGACACACTTGGCAATAAAGATTATTGTACTCCATAACTAATTACATTTTGTTCTGTCTTTGAAAAAGAAAAAAAAGATTTTTCAGTTTAAAAATCTCTGAACATAGAATATTGGCATTATTGTTGTATGTTTATAGATTTATAAGTATGTAAATGATTGTATAGTTGTACTTTTTAATGAATCTTAATCTCAAACTGAGCTAAAATGCATTTCCTCAGAATGGGTTGGGTGTTTTTCCTCTTGATCTTCTATAGCATGGTAATTGTTATGTTTGCAATTAAAAAGTTGAAGTGAAAATATCTAGAAAATTCCTTGTAAGCTTTGCCCAAGGAAGGATTCATCATTATTTTAATATCTCTTGACCATCAACAACATTCTCAGTTGTTTTTGAAGAGTTATATTTGAAGAGGTGGTCCAAGCTGTAAAAGTTTCTTCTGAAGACTGCAAGGTGCCTGTGGTTATCTTAAGGTGGTAGAAGCATTGATTGATGCAGCCATCAAGATGGTACTTGGGATGCTGGCACTCCATGTTGGAGTACCTGGATTCGAGTCTTGGTTGTTTCCAATTCTATCTTTTTGCTAATATGTGCTCTATGAGGCAGCAGATAATGGCTCAAGTCCTTGGGTCTCTGCTACTCACATGGGAGACCCAGATTGGATTCTTGGCTCTTGGCTTCAGCCTGGGCCAGCCTTGACTTTTATAGGCAGTTTAGTGGGGCAGAGGAGTGAACCAGCAAATGGGAGCTCTTAAAAAAAAAGAGAGAGAGACCAACAACCTTTTTTTTTTTTTTTTTTGCTTCTTAAAATATTTTCATCAAGTACGGTGGGGAAGGTCGAGGAATAGGAGAAAGTGGATGAGACAACTGCCTCCAATTTCCTTTTTTCTTCCTGTATCTGGAGAAAGTGGAGGGTGAAGCAGAGAGGACCACTCCCAACAGCCCAACCACATCAGTCCCCGGGAATCGGGGATAGCCACCTGATGTCATGCCAGGGTCCCTGGTGTGAAGCATGTTCTGAGGATACTGCTTAAGTGGTTTTGATAGTTTTTTTTTAAGATTTATATGTTTTTTTTTTATTGAAAAGGCAAATTTACAGAGAGAAGGAGAGATAGAGAGGAAGATCTTCCATCTGTTGGTTCACTCCCCTAATGAACAAAATGACCAGAGCTGAGCTGATCCAAAGCCAGGATCCAGGAGTTTCTTCTGGGTCTTCTACACAGACACAGGATCCCAAGACTTTGGTCCATTCTTTACTGCTTTCTCAGGCCACACCAAGCGAAGCAGTCAGGGCACCAACTGGCTCCCATAATGGATACTGGTGCTTGGAAATGGAAGATTAGCTAATTGAACCATTGTGCTGGCATCTGAATTGGTTGTTTAAGTATGTTATTAAAGCTTTTGCCATCATTAGATCAACTTTGTGTTGGTGGTGATTCTGTTTACTAGAAGTTTTCTATAATTTTCTTTGATGTAAGAAGTTAATGCCTCAATTTAATTTTATCAGATTGCATGCATCCCAGAGTGGTTTTCCTGGGACTCTTTGAGATCCATATAAAAAATGCATTGTGGACTTACTACCTAGAGGAGATGTGGTTACGGACATAGGATTTAGCAAAACTTTAAAATTAGGCATCTGATGGATTCTCTTTATCAGAAGCTTTTATATTTTATAAGCGCATCATTAACTAATTACATTGGAACTGGAACATTTTCAGTGTCTCCAGATCATATACTTATGGAAACTGCCTTTTAATTGTTCTTAACTTGAACATTAATTTTTACTCACTTATTCAGAGACTTAAAAATGGTTTTGACTTTTCAGTATAGAATTTCTGCTTTCCTTATCTTTGTGGTATTCTTGCCTGTGATTCTGATTTTTTATAATGTCTTGAACATATGAGTTTCATTTTGCTTTGTTTTTGCTATAAAATAGTGGCTAATTGACCCAACATGATTCTTCTTGAATTTTGTTTCTCTTCCTTAATTCAAGAGTCATGTGAAGTATGGGCCTAACATGTGGACACTTCCACTTTTCCAAAACTGAAGTCATTTTTCCCATATCTGAGTTCCATACTCACCTTGGCCATAGAGAACAAAGCAAGCTTTGGATCCATTTTACTATTTTAAGAGTTGAAAGCAGTGTTTTTCATTTGTTGACTGATCAGCTGGGCTTACATTGCTAGTTGTGGCTAGGAAAGCTTTCATGAATATAATGTAATATGCCTCCTTCTACTTAGATATGAATTCTCCAGTTTTCTATGTTCCAAAGTAAGATTTTCTTTTGTACTCACTTTTCCCTTGGCCTAACTCCAATCTCAGAGGCTCCCACATTGCTTCTTCCCTCCCACACTTCCCAACAAGCATACAGTTGCCTTTAATTTGCTTTGGGGACACAGCCAAGTTTGAGAAGCTGAAAGGTTACATGCAATTATTTTATTTATTATATTGCAGGTTTTCCTGAATGAGTTTATACTCAAAACATGTAAGTTTATAAAAACATTAAAAAAATTTTTTTCACGAATCAACTGCAAAAATTGGATTCTGATATTGCAGTGTTGACTAGGAAAGAGACTAGCAAACGTAACCCTGCCATCTGCGGTCCAAAGCTTTACAAATTAGTTGGTTAATTTCAGTGAGTCGTAAGTGTGACAGCATTTGAATTTATCCTCAAATGAAGTCAATTAAATTTCTTCCACTTGATCTAAGGTGGGGCTGGTGCTGGGGACTGAATCTTACTAATTATATAGTAATGCCTGTGCTAATTGCAGTAAAGCTATTTCAGCCATCCAGAAACTAGTTCATCTAATTTCTCTCTGAGTGACTTAGATACTTAGTATACACTGACAACTAACCCATTTTCCAAAACCTTTGGCTCTCTGTCTAGAAAGCTACTTTATGTGAATATTTTTCCTTAACATTCCCATGTGTAACTATTGGAACAGATTTTGCTTTGGTATTTACAAGTCTGTTTCTGTTTCCTAAAACAGCCGATGACTCAATGACTAAATCCTCGTCTTGCAAGCACTGGGATCCAGATCATGTCTTGGCTGCTCTATCTCTTCCCATCCAGCTCCCTCTTATGGCCTGGGAAAGCAGTAGGGGATAACCCCAAGCCTTGAGACCCTGCATCTGTGTGGGAGACTCCAGGAAACTTCTGGCCCCTGGCTTCAAATGGGATTGGCTCAGCTCTGGCTTTTGTGGCCGTTTGGGGAGTGAACCAGATGATTTAAGATCTTTCTCCTTTTCTCCGTAAATCTGATCTGCCTTTCCAGCAAAAATAAATAAATGTTAAAAGAAACAGCCTTTTCGCACCGCATTCATATGTTAGACTGCTATTTCTACTGCATCTTCCCAGAATTCATCATTGCTTAATAAGGTCTGTTTAAGGTCAGACAAATGTGATTGAAATTTTATTAAATTATAAAGGGAGGGTAGCATGGATATGATGTGAAAGCACTTTGCATTATCATTAGTCATTTATACAGATCCCAGTGATGGCTACTCCTTTCCAGGGCTTGTTCATAATTAGATAAAAATAAAAGGCAGCACTTTTTATGCCTATTCCTGCTTTGCTTCTTTTCCTTCCTTTCAAAATCTCTGATGCTATAAGTTGTGTAAATGACCTTTCTCCCTGTTTCCTTCCTTTAAACATATTTTACTAAATGTTAAACCTTTTATAGGCAGAGAAGGATTTATTATGAAGTTAATGAAAGTTATATTTCAGAGCCTCTCATTTGGCTTGACCTCCTAAGACCCTGGTAGTTGTCTTGGTAATGTATTCTCAGTATGTTCTGCACATTGTTTTCAGAAGCAAAATATTTCAGTTGCAGCTGTTAGACCATGGTCCATTTCTATTTTGGCTCTTTTCCATGAGAGCTTCCCTTTGGGTTATGTGGTGTTACAGAGGCTATGAGTATTTTAGGGATCTAAAAAAAGGGAAGTCAAATGGGAGGTAGGACTAGCTTGGGGTTAAGTATGCTACTTGATTATGTGTGGTTCTTAGGTTTTTTTTTTTAATTAATTTATTTTTATTGGAAAGTCATATACACAGAAAGGAGGACAGACAATGTGGCTACAACAGCTGGAGCTGAGCCAGTCTGAAGCTAGGAGCCAAGAGACTTTTCTGGGTCTCCCAAGTGGGTGCAGGGTCCTAAGGCTTTGGGCTGTCTTCGACTGCTTTCCTAGGTCACGGAACTGGATGGGAAGTGGAGCAGCCAGGATTAGGACCGGCGTCCATATGGGATCCTGGCGCATTCAAGGCGAGGACTTTAGCCACTAGACTACCGGGCTGGCCCAGTTGTTAGTTTTTTAAAGTTTTGTTTTTTTTTTTTTTTTAAAGATCTATGTATTTGAACAACAGAGTTATAGGAAAAGGGTGAGACTGAGAGGAAGGTCTGCCTTTTGCTGGGTCACTCTCCAAGTGGCTGCAAAGGGGGCAGCTAGGTTTCTCTGAAGCTGGGAACTGGGAACTTGCTAAGAGTCTCCAATGTGGATTCAGGGCACAAGCACTTGGGTCATCTCTGCTTTCTCAGGTACGTTAACTAGGGGCTGGCTTGGAAGCGGACCAGCCGTGCCAGAGTTCCGGGCCCCTCTTTGCCACATCAGTGTATTGTGGAGTTTTTTGCTAAGGGGTTCATACAAGAACAGCTTCTGACAACAATCCTGGTATCCATCGATACCCACTTAATGCTGTTACATGAAGATGTAGTTTCTAGCATAAAGCTGGTACGTGAGTGCTATCAATTCAAAAATGCTGCAAGATCTGTCAGTTTTTAGGGAAACTTGAAGTGTCCTGAAATCTAAAATCTCAAATGTGAAAGAAATTTGATAGTTTCCCAAAAATTGATGAAGGCTCTCAAAATGTGCTGATGTCCAGTTGTGATATTGAAAGTTGCTTCTCTGAGCTG